AATATGGGTGGCTGTAATAATATCATCAAAAATAATAAGTGTAGTGACCTGGGAGCTGGTGGTGTATGTGCTGTAAGTGCGTCCACGGCCTGTACTAATACTGTCCAATAAATACTGTAATCACAACTTAGAAATTTGGTTTTCAACGATTTTGATAATTAAGTGTTAACACTTATAAAATTAAATGAAACTGTCAATATATGAAAACACTTATACCTTTGAATTTTGTATTAAGCAATATTGTTAATAATCAAATGTGAATTAAAATAAACTTCATTTAACTGCTACTAAATCTTAAACCCAAAACCTTAGTTTCAGATAAGTTTAATTCAATTGCACTGAGATTATTGAAAATGCTGTATTATTAAAATAATTAATAAAAATACTATTGATAAATGTTATTATGAAGTCATAGAATCTATGACAGATGTATTTCATATACATCGAGACAAAGTTCAAGTCTTAACTTGGTTTAATATAGTTATACTGAATTTATTAGTCATTTTTCACAATAATTTTACATTTTCCTAATTACAATAAAATATACTTTAGTGATCTTAAATAATAAATATGAAAAACAATAGTTTTAAAAATATAATCCCATTTTTAAAATAATAATAATGCACATAAAATAATACGGTAACCAAATGTAAATTATCTGAGACTTAAGAAATTGTGAAATTAATGATTAAAACAAATCCTTTCGAACTGAGACAACAGATTCCTAACATTTCAACACAATTATAAACATTCAACAGATGTTTTCATAAACACAATCAATAGATTAATTATTAAACCTTTTACAAAAAATAGATAATACAAATAAATATATAAACCATATTTAGAAACACCATAACAAGTCATTATATTTATAACACTTGTCGAAAAAAGTGTTTACGAAATCACATCTAAAAATGTTGAAACTAACAGTATTTTTATGCCTTATTCTGTACACCAATTGTAAGACCCATAGTGTGTCGGACGATAAGGAGTTATTGGCAGCTTTGAAAGATGTATCGCCCGGCGATACCATAGAGTTAGCGGACGGCAAGTATCACAACACCTTCGTAACCGACGTGGACGGAAAGGACGGAAAGCCTATCACTTTGACCGGCTCTAAGAAGGCTGTCATCTCGGGCTCCAACTATGGCTTTCACCATCAGGCAGACTATTGGGTACTCCAAGGCTTTACAGTCGCCAACAGCAAAAAGGGTATTGTCTTAGACGGCGCCAGCAATAACATATTGGAGGACCTGGAGGTTCACGATATCCAACAGGAGGGCATCCATTTCCGAAAGAATAGCGCCGATAATATTCTCCGAAAGTCATACATACATACCACAGGTCTCGGTAGTCCCGGATATGGTGAAGGAGTCTATATTGGATCAGCGGTTAGTATTATTGTTGTATTTTTATATAAAATATATTACTATAAAAATATGATTGTATTCATTTATTAAACTAAATCCCATTTTAATGTTAGTTTTAAAATACTTGTTTCTTAATACCTGGCTTACAGGTGAGCAACTGGGAGAGCAATAAGCCAGACAAAAGTGACAGAAACCAAATACTGAACAACAGAATCGGTCCAAATGTGGCCGCAGAGGAGATTGATATCAAAGAGGGCTCGTGTTGCGGTATAATCAAGAATAACGTGTTCGACGGCACCGGTATGTCCGGCGAGAATTACGCCGATTCCTGGATTGATGTTAAGGGAGAGGGCTATACCATCGAAGACAATGAGGGCAACCATTCATTGCTCGACGGCATACAAGTGAGACATAAATT